AGGGCTACTGGCACCCTGAGGATCTGAAATCCAGCACATCACCCGGCCTAGCGTGCCAGCACAGGTTACACTTTAATAAGCTTTTTTCAGTCATTGCTGCACATTGAGCTAATCTTTTGAGAGACCTATCTACAATGACTCCAAGGTCTCTTTCCTAAGTTGTAAGAGCATGTTCAAAACCCAGCATTTACTTGCACATACCTACTTTTTCCAAGCAATAGAAGCAACAATCACAGGAACGGCATGGAAAGTTAAGGCCCTCTGTACTATGTACTACCCAAATCCTTCCTTTGCAAGGCATTGTCTCTACTGGGATTTAAGACAGTGCTGTAGCTGCACAGGCACAAACCCACATGGACCAGCTTTATACTACTACAGCTTACCCTGATTTCAAACAATGGTATTAAGAAATAGCATCTCCCTAAAATAGATAACACACACAAAGATAATGTATTGTGTTAGTCAGGTCTTCTGAAAGATGTGCTGCATTGCTTGAGGGGAAAAAAAAAGAAGACTAGTATGAATAAGAAAATTTCTGCTTTCAAAATGATTATTCAGAATAGAGATTTCATTACTCTGGGAAACAGAAAATACTGAACTTTAAGTCTGTGAATGCAAAAAAACCCAAAAAACAAACCAGTTCTGGAATGACCAGGCACAAGCAACAAAATCCCCACCAGGTGCTTGGGTGGTCACACACTGAAAATAGTAAATGATTTTTTTTCCTTTTGTGAAGAATCCATTTTACCTGTACCTTTGTAGATCCGAAAGAGGGTAGAATTAGTCTCAATCTATATTAAGAAAACCAGATTAGAGGTTTCTCCAACAGGCTAGATTGGAAATTGGAAGTCTTAACAGAAAAATTAATACTAGATGCAACATGATAATATTTTAATCTAAGAGACCTGAGGCTTGAGAACAGCCATATCACCTACTCCATATTTGCAGAGGGTAGTGAGATCCCATCTATATGGTCGAAATTCCTCAAAGTGATGCACTAATTTCTTATCTTAGAATTCAAGATCAGTTGTTAGATTTCTTAAACTGTTTGACAAAACTTGTAGAAAATGCTATTAAAATAGGTAAATCCCATAAAGTCAAAAGGGGCTACTCATGCGAGTAAATCCTAAAGGATCTAGCCCTAATGATAGAATATATTATTCAGTTCAAGTCTAATGGCTTACCTCTGTATTAGACAGAATTTAATGTAAATTGTATTTTGTTCAGAGAGGGTTCATCATCTTGCCATCCTAGGAGTATTAAAAAGGGAGCAGAGGGAATAAAAGTAGGTACCATACTTTCATTCACAACCCCTGCCAGCTTAGGTTTTCCTTTCCTGTGTTATTGTATGAAAGATCCAAACAGTGCCTACTACACTTGAATTCAAGTACAAAGTACTGTCAAGTGTTTAAAATAAACACCACAAGAGACAGAAAAAGTTAATTTCCTCAAATCTGTTCCTTTTATAGTAATCTCGGGTGTTAAAAGCAATCACAGTAGGTAAACACATTCAGACACAAGTGTGATTTGTAAGCATTCTTTCAACCACCCCTATTTTGACAAAACAGTTCTTTGAACTGTACAACTCACTTTGCCTGAATTGTATTTTTAGTCTATTTTATTACTGGATTTCAGGAACAATTCTAATTTTGACCCAAATGCTTACTGAAGTTCAGAGAAATATTAGAGGACACAGAACCCAGGCCCTGGAACCCAGCAGATTTCATTCTTGTACTGACTTACAGCAAAAACAGATCCAAGGGAGAGGGCTTGAGAATTCAGTCTGAGGGTGTTGCTAGTTCTGGGTGGATTATGAAACTGAGAAAGGATGGGAAAATGGTTTGCAGCACAAGCCTAATCAAAAGCAAGTACTATAGTTTACTACTACAGTTTCTTGAATTAAACATAATATCACCTTCCAAAAATAATTACAGAGAGACCGGAATTATGCTGGTAATGTTACTTTATACTGTACGTGCTTGGCGGAATACACATTACATTGCAACATGTGCACATGAAATGAACTAGTATCTCCCTTTAAGCCATGTTTCAATAAATTCTCATGCCAAATAATAATAGGCCTGTCGCAGTTATTTTTGCTTGCTAATAACACCCATGCAATGTGTTCTAAATATTAACCATCTGGGCACTTGCTGCTTTCATTCTTATCACAACTGGCCACATTTATAAATGTATCTGCAAAAATCAATCCACTGGCTACCTAAAAATACGCAACATTCCAGAGCTCAAATTGATCTGTATACATTGTTACAGTTTAGTTCAAACCTAGTTCTGTGAGCTTGGTCAAGTTGGCCTGGAGAAAAATGTGACACAAACACTTCTAATACCTAACCTACACAGACAGGTAGGTAGACAACACGCATGGCCTACAGGGTGGAGGGAACAAGAATGATAAGAAATTCAGGGATGCTCACAGGGTTGGTGATAAGCCAGCTTCTCTCTCTCTCATTAGTCCAACCCCATCCAAAAACAGCAGTGACCTAAGAGTACCACCTGATGGCCATTCAGGTGACCTATGTGAATTAGCAGGTGGTCCAAGTCTAATTCAGAATGGACATGTGCATGTCTTTGAATCACCATCAAGATTAACATTAATTGACATGCCTGCTGCCACTCTTACCCAAGAAAGTGCACACGGCGTGCCAGGATAGTCAAGCAATATGGAGAAACTTACAGAGTAGGTGTAGCTTGAGCAGCAGCAATGAAAGCATCATCCCCAGGTTATACCATCAACTTTCATAAGCATTTAGTTTCACCAAAAAACTAATGTGGGTGAAGAGTGGGAATTGGGAGTGCTAGAGGAACAGTACCTCTGTCCACCAAGACCAGAAATAGTAGGAAATGAAAATATATTGCAGCGTGCTGTCATGACGAACCAGGGTGCTGTGAGCCTGATCCAAATTGAAAACAGAGCCAACGTAAAAGTGAAATATGCTCTTTGACTTATTTCAACTTTAGTTTGATCTACACAAAGTGATTTACAGAACCCAGGACACAAAGGGCAGACTTTTATCCAGCCTTCAACTGCCAGAAGAATCGCCTTGAAGGAGAAGTTCTGAACATAAAAGAAATAAGGGTGAGACAGAAAAGTCTGACAATCATTTACTCTGGCTGTCAATATTTCTGCATCCTATATTTTTTTCCTTTTCCCAGAGAAGCATCAACATATTGCCAATCCTGAATTACTCTCTTGGCCCTAAATATAGATATTAACCATAATTCTACATGCATTCATTATGTCACTCAAGAAAAGAGAAACATAGTGACCATAATCAAATATTAGGATAATATTTCAAAGCAAAAAGTGCAAAGCCCCTTCCCCATTGGTTAGCTAAAATTTGGAAAAATATTTTTTTCAAATTTCTGAATCCCCTGAGCAATATTTTCCTTTAGAATGAAACGTCACTCAGAGATCATTGCTTAAGAGCTACAAAAATACTTCTAAACATTAAACTCTCACATGAGATGCCCTTTGAACTAAAAATTACTTAGACTAATTTCTACAGCTTCTGCTTTCCATATGAATTACCTGCAAGTATTTGAACATACCAACAAGCACTAAGAGCAAATTGCAGCCTTGGGGACTGCAATTGTTAATTTTAATTGTAAAACTAGAGAGCAGGTTTTGTTAAAGCTTGCTTTTAAAGGGGAAAAACACACCCCACCAAACTACTGTAATAACACAATATAAATCTATACACTTCCCTGAAGTTTTCACCTAAGAAAACCAAAAGAAAAAAAAAAAAAAAAAACTGCAGGCCTTAAAACTTAATCAGACTTTGTAAAACAAATGTAACTGGAAAAGTATGTACAAACTCTGATTTCCAGGAGCAAGAAGGGAGTGTTAGTTCTCGTTTTGTGAACTAACCTTGTCTCCCCCATAATTCCCATCCTGCTAACAGCAAAGCAGTAATGAGCTAGTGTTTGTAGCTGCTTTTTCTAGCAAACTCCACTATATGATCACGTGAGTTATAGCGACTGTTAAAAAGTATATAAGCCTCCTGATTTTGCTCTTGGGAGGGAACCCCTTCCAAGTGCTTGGGAAATCCATGTCACTTTGGGGTCCCCCCTACAGCTGTAGTTTCATTTGAATAAAAGCTTCTGCTGACCTGACCCAAAAGTATGCTGCGTGCGTTTCCACACAATTCCTGGTGCCGTGACTCGGATCCTGTTATTTTAGTGACCTTGCCTGATTAATGCATAATGATTATCCCTCTTTTCCCCTGTCCTTTTCAGAGCACAGAGTTATGTTTTTTGGGGGGTGGTTTAAATCTCTCCAAGGACAAATTACTACAATTTGGATGAGGTCACAGTAGCAAAAGGAAAGTCTCACAGGCAAAACGGTTTACAGGTGACTAGCTTTAACCCATAAGGAAAAAAAAACCCTATGATTAGCTAGCAGGTGAGTTTAAAAAAAAATTTTAAAGTCCCATGACAAATTGAACAGAGGAGGAGAATTTTAACAAGCAATTATTTTGCAAATAACGACTTGTTAATTGCAGCCTAGCCTGCCCAGGGAATGCCCCAGTGACCGTACCTGCTGCTGGGACCCCAAGTGCCGGGGCCAGGTACCTCCAACCCCTCCCGGTTTGGGCTCGGCAGCTGACACTGATCCCTGCCTGCCATGCAGCTCCCCTGCCTGGAGCACGACAGCCTCCATGAAGACGGAGACGCCGCTGTCAGTTTGAGCACTGCCATCTCTCCCCGTGCTCGGGCCAGGGCGGACGCGAGCAGGGGCGCAGCACAGCCGGGCAGCTGCCCCTCCTCTCCCCGGGGCAGGCAGCGGTCCCGCCGCCCGGGCTCCCAGCGGTCCTGCCCAGCCCCAAGCCCCAGGCTGGCTGCAGAAAATGCAAGTCAGGGGCGGGGGGTGCGTTTCCTCGCAAGCCGACATTTTTCAAAAGTTTAAAAGGATTCAGCTCGGGGGGCGGCGGGAGGGGAAGGGGCTGCGCGAGGCCCTGCGCGCCGGGGCCCGGCCTCACCTCCTTCTGCTTGGGGTCCTGGGGGTAGACGTCGGGCGGTCCCAGCCGGGGTCGTTTCAGAGGTCTCTGCTCATAGCTGAGAAGCCCGAAGGCGGCCATGATCTCTCATGTTAGCCGGCAAAATGAATGAGTTGGAGACGGAGCAGGCTCTGAGCACCAGGGAGCAGCACTTGGCAGACAGGCTCCCTCTCTCCGGCTGCCTCTCTCTCTCCTACGGGGGAGACAGACGCAGGTTGGAGGCTGCCGTCTCCCCGCACGCGCGCAGAGCCCCCATCCCCGCGCCGGGACAGCGCCACGGCCCCCGCAGCCTCCCGCCTCCGCCGCCCTGCGGGCTCTGCCGGGCCAGGACAAGTGCCAAGCAGGGGCAGGCTGGTCACAGCCGAGCCACTGAGCATCACGTCCTACTACTCCTACAGAAGTGCCCTGCCTTTCCCTCCAGTCCCCATAGGAGGGGTGCTGCTAAGTCGCCTGCTTGCTGCACAAACGCGGAGCAGGAGCCTTGCTCCCCTGAGAGGGGCTTCAACTCAACGGGGGTCAAATTAGTCCCGACATGGAGAGAGAAGGCATCTCCCCCGGCCAAGGATGGGGCACATGGGCTGATTGCAGCAAATTGCCTAAGCCTGGGGGTCAGGCCCAGGCAAAACTTTTTTGAAGAGATTAAAACTGTGGTGCTGGGATTTTTGAAGGACGAGAGCTCCTCCCCCCTTCGGAAGTTAAACACTTAATATCCGAAGTGCTTCTGCCTCAGCAGCTACCCCAAGGAGAGCCCTGCAGAGTAAGGCTCCTCTGACTGGTACAGGAGATGAGCGCAGCTGAGGCTTGCAAGACAAGCAGGTGGGATCTGCAGGAGCTCTAGCTGCAGCCATACAAGTGGCTGCCTCCCACTGCTTCCCAACCAAGCCAGGATCTCCAAGCACCTCCACTAAAACTAGCAGCTCTTCAAAATGTAGGCAACTCACAGTGGCTCAGCTCCTGTGTTTGGTGGGTGCATTTAGGTGAGGTGATAAAAAGTCATAGCTAACAGCTGGGGATAATACCTAGATGGGGGTTTTTTCCATCACTAGAGCTCAAAAAAACTCTGCAACTGATTTAAGCAATGCTAACTCCATTCCATAGATGGGAAAAGTGAGACACAAGGCATTGAAGCAACTAGTCTCTGATAAGCATGCAGATAAATCAGGACTGGAACCTGTGTCTTGAAGGACTCCATCCACTAAGCCACACTGACTTCCCACCTGTGCCTTTGCAGGTTCTCCTCTGCCCCTTATTTTGAGGAATGTTACTTGGCCCCAAAACTATATAATTTAGTGTGGTGTCCCTCCACTTTCACTGTGTTATAGTCTAGTTAGCTCCAAAATAATTTCAAATCTGAGATTTTGAGAGGAAAGAACCCCACAGCATCTTAAATTTCTTGGATGGATGGATTTTTGCATAGTCCTATTTCAGGTCTTCGTCTTTCATATTGCATCCCATATCTGGACCATGACAGGCTACTGCATTGGCTCTTCCAGGCAGATGTGTTTTAAAGAACTGAAGAGAGGCCAGCAGCTTTCAGTCCTCTCCTCTGGCACTGTACATTGTAGGTGCTGGAAAAAAGCCCACAGCTGTTGCATGGCAGATCTGCCTCCCTGAAGGGGAAATTAAGCGAAGGGTAAAGGGGGCACAGGGCTGAAGCTCCTCAGCTGTTGTGCATGGTCCCCTTCCTTTGTTTCTGTCACATGACACTGGTAAACAACTACCACAAGACTCATTAAGTCACCTGGCCATTCATTAGTATAAGTAAAATGGTATTTTCCCTGTCTCATTCTCTGTCTTGAATCTGTAGCTCTCACTCCTACCTTCCCTCACCAGTATAGTTTTAAAGAAGTGGCACAACACATCTACACAGTTCCTTCCTCTTCCATGGTATTCTATATAAATAAAGCTCAGAAAGTATTACTAAATTGATAAACAAATTGTAGACCTAGACAGGCCAGACTTAGTTATTTTCTAGCCTTGAGGAAGATCTTGTCCATTTGATTTAGCTGGATTATTAAATCCCAAAGGTATGACTCCTGTCCAAGAGTAGTGATTCTTTTCAGCAGAATTTTTCCTTTCACTACAGCTGTAGAGTACATTGCAGTTGTTCACTTGTCAGAGAATAAAACCTTGACTCAGAATGTATTCCCACACAGAGATCATAGAGATAACAATAAAAAACAGAATTGCATCTGTTTAATTTCCCAGGACAAAGCACATTGTGGGCCAAAAATTGAAGTCCTTACTACAATAACTATGGTCAGAGTCAATGGAGTTTTGCTTGAGTGGGAACTGCAAGATTTGTACCTGTAGAAATAGCAAACAATTGTAGTTTACTGTATTAAATGCCACAATAGACAATAGTGTATTTTTTTCCCTGCAATTAGTGGGGAGCCTAAGTGTGTTGAGGTGATCAGACAGGATTGGACTGTCACTTTACATGGAGTGTGAAGGAAGGTGCAGTGAACAGTTGCACTTGAGGGGCAAACTAGACGACAAACTGGGAATCAAGGAATCTCTGTTATTCCACCTCTTTTCAGGAAGCCTTTCTATTCCCATGGGGCATTCAGCTAACACCTATGCCTCACAAGTGACGAGAAGGTTATGAAGCCAAAACATCTCTCAACTACCTATCCAGTAGCATACAGGGTAGAAGAATAGGCCCAGTAACTCCCACCCTCTTCCTCATGGCTGGCATCACATTCTGGTGAAGGCCAACAGGAATAATAAGGGAAATCTTCCTCCCATTCTTACCAGCCCTTCCATTCTTCTGCCTGAGTTGGACCTGAAACAACCAGGACAAGAGCCAGCAGTAGCACCCAGGGTCCCCATCCCTCCCCCAGTTTCCCTTTCCTACCCCCATCCCTTTCCTACCCTCAGGCAGCACAGTAGGGTGAGCCTGGGCTGCCTGCACCACATGCCTGGTAGGGAAGAAGCTGACAATGCTGTGCACATGGCAAGGAAAAGAGCCAAGGAGCTGTGAACATCGCACATGTGGCAGAGGAAGGAGCCAGGCTGCCTGCATGGGAGGCAGGAGGATAGGATGGGGCTACTTGTGTGGCAGGAGGGAGCTACGTTGTCCACACAGTGTGCCTAGTGGGTGAGGGGAGAAGTGATTCCGTACACATGGGGGGGTGCCTGCATGGCAAGCAGCCCACAAAGCTGTGGCCCTCAGATCTGTGGACCATACTTTAGCCCCTGGCAGTCCAGAAGCTGGACAGCCCTGATGTAAAGGACTACAGACAGACCATGTGCAACATAGAATAGGACCACAAATTGAGGATTAGGAGAGCTGAATCTGATTCTAAGCTCTGTCACTGTGGCCTCGGGCAAGTAATTTGTTTCTTTCACATCTAAGATTTGCACCTCAAGATTACCATGTAAGTGCTAAGCACCTTCATTACTAGACAACTATACTTTGGGCACTCATAGGTGACTCATAGGGTGAACACAGGGGGGAGGCGGCACATGCCCCGCTGAGATTAGCCACCACCGATGCCGATGCTGGTTTCTGTGGGTGGTTGCCAATCACCGCTCAATGACAACAAGACCAGCGCCAGCTTCTGCAGGCAGTAGTCGATTGTTGCTCGCAAACCCCCTCCCTGCTGCTGACATCACCGGTGGCTTCGGCGGGCAGTTGCCACTCACCACCCCGCTGCCGACACCGCTGCCCACAAATTGTGCCCCCCCAGTCTCAGAAGGCACCAGTCGTTCATGTGGGTACCTATGGGACCTAAAGTAAATAATCCCATTGATTTCAATGCATAAAAGTCACAGGACATCATTTGTCTGGGAAACAGTGTGCCTTCCTATACTGGGCGTGTCTACATGAGACACCTTATTGCGCAGTTGAGAAAATTACTGCATAGTAAGCATCACAGTCTACACATGCAGACCCTTACTGCACAGTAATTTGAAGGGCTGTGTGAAGCTTTGGTAGCTGATTCGATTCGGAGGAGATTCGGCCCAATTTGGGGACCGAATCTCCAAATCTGAATCAAATCAGGAGACCAATTAAAAGCTCCAAATTGATTTGAAGCATCCAAATTGATTCAGAAAAGCTTTGGAAAAGATTCAGCCACTTCAGAGATTCAACCATAGACTAAACAGGCAGCTGACACAGCTGCCTCCAGCTAGTAAGTCTGTTGGGGGAGGGAGGGATTGGGGCTGAGACAAACTGCCCAGCTGGGGCAAGAGGGTGTGGGATGTGGCACAGCAGCGCTGGGAGTGGGGGCTCTGCCCTGCTGCCGCTTGTCCAGTTGGGGTGGGGAGGCAGGGGCAGGATGCAGGCATGGCTCGCTCACCAGTATCCACCCTTCTTCACCCTGGAGTTTAAAGGTTTCATCTTTGTGAGAAGATGAGAATTTAAGGAGAATTTAAAACCTAATGCTGACCTGAAGTATGGTATAAGGAAGGATTATAGTGCCACATATAATCTCATAATTTTTATAAATCTATTAATTTACAAACCCCTCTACTTGAATAATTTAATCTTTTTTTCATTTATTCCTCAATTACTTATAATGCTCCAAGCTATGTTGTTCAGCAAAAGGTGAACAAGTCTGAGTTCTTCAAAAGTTTAAAATGTAGTTCAGAAACACCTTCCTTGACAAATCCATCAGATTCCTTGCTTGAATCCAAAATATGCTCAGCTGGATAGCAGTGCCTGTTATCTCTCTCCATCATCTCCAGTAGCAGATAAAAATGCTACAGAACTTTTCATGAATTGCACTGGCATGCTGATTATCCAGATGATTTTTAAAAGATTGTACCTTTGGAAAAAGCGATATCCTTCACATTGATATCCTTCATATTTTAAGATTAATTTTGTAACATTCTTTATTTCTATCTGAGACTTTGTCAAGCTTGTTTTAATATTTTTAAACCACATCGCAACTAGGGCTGTAAAAAGATTTTAAAAATTGCTTGCAATTAGTTGCATGATTAAAAAAATTAGTTGCAATTAATCAGGATTTTAATCGCACAGCTAAAAACTCAAATATGCAAGTACTTTGTATAGTTGGGGAGTGGGGATGGGGTGTGTGTGCAGAGGGGGAATTTGTGAAGGTGGTGGGGGCTATGGGGGGGTTGGAGCCTGGAGAGTGGGGGTCCCCACAGAGGGGTCTCAAGCCTGGGGAGGAAAGAGCCCCCACACACCCTGGCAGGATGCAGGATACTGTGGGTCAGGAGTTAGGGACAGCAGCAGGGCTGGGGGGTTATGGCTTGGGAGTGAGGGGCAGGGATAGGGCACAGGCCTATCACTGCCCCCACAATCATATTACTGTTGGCTACAAAGGACCAACTCACAGAATTCTAATTTCTTGTACGAGATGTGAAGTTACCAATAAAATCATAAATGCAAACAGAGTTATGATGGGTACTGGTCACCTTAGCATGCACACACACACGCTCTCACTCATTCAAACCCATGCCATTTAAATCCATGTAGTATAGTGTATAGCAGCTGCTGCAGTGATTGTGAGAGCACTGGTGTCAGTATATCTACCCGTCTGAGGCCCTGGAGCCTGCTATTGATAGTCAGCTTCCTTTAAGGTGATGTCTTCACCAGAAGGGGGTTGCCTGCTTGTCCTTCTGTCTCAGTAGGTCAGGTGCTGTATAAGAGGGCACCACTGAGGGTCATGCTTCACTGCCTTTTATCCCTTTCTGGCAGACTTGTGTGATCCCCCAGCATCATCTTGGCTGCCCAGTCTGAAGGTCCTTTTCCCACATG